AATCAAGAACCACATAGTAGAAGGACCTGACAATACACCATCTGGGACAGTCAAGTCAGACTTAGAAGCAAGCGCAAACATGATCCACGTCCTGTTCAGGAAGATTTAGGAGGAAGCACAAGTGTTATCGACAGACTGAAAAGGACACCTCATCAAGATTCTAAACAAAGGAGATCTGAGCAAATGTAAGAACTACACAGCTATCACACTACTATTGGTACCAGGAAAAGTTTACGACAGAGTGTTGCTGAACCGTATGAAAGATTCAGTAGATGCTCAGCTTTGAGATCAACAGATTAAATTCTGTAATGATCGATCGTGCACAGAACAAACTGCGACACTACGGATTATCGCTGAACAATCAGTTGAGTGGACCTCACCACTGTACATCAACTTCCTGGAATATGATAAAGCATTTGACAGTGTGGATAGGGGAACATCACGGAAACCTATTCGATATTATAGAGTAACTGAAAAGATCGTCAACATAATTCGGAATTTATACGACGAACTGTACTGCAAAGTTGTGCATGGCGGACAGCTAACAGACGTATTTCAAGTGAGAACAGGTGTCAGACAAAGATTCTTACTCTCTCCCCTTCTTCTTCCTTCTGGTGGTTGACTGGATTATGAAAACCTCGACATCTGAGGGGGAGAACAGAATACAATGGACAGCTTGCATGCGACTAGAAGATTTGAACTTCTGTCTTATACACGAACTAATGCAGTTCAAGACAACTAGCGTGCCAGCAACCTCTGCATCATTAAGCCTCAACATACACAAAGAAAAAACACAAGATCATCGTGGAGAACACCAACTCAATCAAATTCGATAGCCGATGGAAAGTTTTACGTACCTGGACGGCATCATAGATGAACAAGAATTATCTGATACAGACGTAAAAGTGAGGATTGGCAAAGCATAGACAGCACTCCTACAATTGATGAACATATGAAACTCGAAACACCTGTTGACCAATATCATACTCACAATTTTCAATACGTGTGTCAAAACGGTTCTATTGTACGGAGCTGAAACGTGGAGGACTACTACAGCCATCATCAAAAATATACAGGAATTTATAAACAGTTGTCTACGAGTGCATTAACCAGATACCATGAGCAACAGCCTGTTATGGAAGAGGACAAACAAGCTTCCATCTGAAGAGAAAATTTAAAAAAAAGACGGTGGAAGTGGATTGGATATACAGTGAGGAAGTCCACAACCTGCATCATGAGGCAAGCGCCAATATGGAAAGGAAACGGAGAAGTGTAAGGCTGAAGTACACACTGCGTCTAGAATAAGAAGCAAACATGAAAATGATAATTAGCGACTGGAAAGAACTGGAAATGTTTGTCCAGGACAGAGATGGATGGAGAGTGCTCTTGGATGGCCTATGTTCCTCCACGAGGGGTTACTGAAGTAAGTAGTAGTAATCAGTTAAATATTAGTTAGTATTATTCCTGTAATTGACAGTCACTATTCTTACTACATATTTTTATGCTAAGGTATAATCTCATTTACTACAGTTACTGTTGATGATTTGTATTGGTTAGATGAGGTAATTTTAAATTAGATCGACGAATAGTGTATTGGTAATTCAAAACAGTCACGTTGTCTGTCAGAACTTGCATTATTTTCTGTTATAACAGCTTGTTATATCCATTTTGAACATACATTTCTTATGATAAAAGATTGAATATGTTTTATGGTTAATGGAACGTAAAATATAGCTATTGTCTGCACTATAATGTAGAAACGGTAAGTAAAGACTTAATTCACCAAAACAACCATAAAACATGAATCATCTCGTGTATGAGATTAAGAGAGCGTTAGCATCTTCATGAAGAACATATACCACGAGGATAGTTATGCTCTAAAGTGTTATATTTTATTGTCTCAGTTTAATATCACTGCCAATATAATAACATTTTTTCATTAGTTACTTTGCATATAGAAATAAACGGATACATTCAAATCATAGACTTTAAACATCAATTTCTGTGGTTTTTTCTAAGCCCAAGATATATTTCATGCAATGACATCCTATATGCCAAATTACATGAAGACTATGTGATGACCTGGATCCCTTTTAATTTTGTATAAAAACATTAAATTTGTATATTGAATGTCGTTTGTAAAAAGGGTAGCTTTTTAAGAGACCTACATAAGGTAACAATTTATCTACAATAATATACCTCAGCTCAAGTAAGAAAGAAATAAGTGAGAGACTGTGTAATCTAAAAAAGTCGTAAATGGAATTTGTAAACTGTTATCATTCGTTAAGTGAGCTGAAAGCATGACTAGTGTGAATGACTAGTGTTGACATAATTAAGTAAAATATGATGGTTTATATGAAGAATATTTATTAATAGCACCGGTGAAAGGTAACGACAGACCATTAAGGCAGTGTTTGTTCATTGGCTTCTTATTGTTTAATGTTACTTTTAATTCATTCAGTTTTAGCATTGGTAAAATCGAACTAATATTGTAGTGAACAAAACACGAGTGGGGACAATCAAATGTATTTGACACGAAATTACAGAGCATCTCAATCAAATCTGAGAACCATATAGTAAATAGTTGATTTGCACAATATCAATCCATCATATCAAACTTGACTGTTCCTATTGCAAACATCAATCTATTGTCTCAGATTTTATTGTTAATGCGTTTTCATCCCAATTGCGTTCCGTTCCCATTCTTTCCTCATCGACCTTCTACTGAAATAAATTATATGCCTGACCACCGTTATATAATACGTGTGTGGATATAAGTAACCCACACCACAATATTAAGTAGGCCGTCATCATTTGAAAACGTTTATTCAAATATCACTGTGTAGCAATTTATCATATTAAACTCACTCAGTTAAACTGCATATCCCTTCATTAAAGAAACAAAAGTTGTTCTTTACAATCGAAATCTGATCATTCACAAACCTAAAGTAAAAAAACGATTCAGTATTCAACATTTGCCTAATTCTTTGCAATCAAACTGGCTACAGTGTACATAAAACAATGCTTAATAGCACAATTAAAGACAAGAAATTAACCTTTACTTTTCACCAACTATATAAACTGGTTTATATGTACGTATATTCAAAGAACAGAAAGTCAGCCGTATACGTTTTCTTACTGAGGAGTTTTCAAAAACTCTTAGATTTATAATTCAAAATCACTTTATAGTTGAATTGTCATTCAGTTGTTTCGTATGGAACAAAACTTGTACGAAATCTTATCATTCCACTTCATCTTCTACAAAGTATAATATTCACTTTACGCAATATGAAACTAAACATCACCAACTATTAAAATAGATAAATTCCAAATTAGCTACTAATTCCGGTATACAGGTTTCACACAACTCTTACTTAGATTTAGAATAAATCACTTTAATCATATATAATTCTTTTCATAACTCAAATTTATTTGAAAGATGAAAACATTTTCTAGTTTGCACTACTTAAAATCAAATAAATAACTTGTAGCCAATTCATGAAAGTTAAAAGTCAATCAATTAAAACTATAATCTAAGATACATTTTCTTTTTCTACATTGTATGTATGTTACAAAATCTATATATATATATGCCTCCTGATACGTTAAAATTAGTGCTTCATTGATCCATTTGCAATTGCCCTCCATAGTAGTTTCTTCTTCTGTGAGCAGATCTTGTAAGGATTAGAAACTTATGTTGAAAGTTATCTTGAATTCGTTGAGTTTGTCAATATCTCGTAGGAAGTCTTTATTGAAGATTTGCACTGCTGCTTGTCCAGTTGTCCAGTGCATCTCTAGATCCAGTTTCATATTGACAATCACCAGGTGGTGATGCGAAACTGTGTCATCTCCTCTCCTGTTTCTCACACATTCCATTGAACTTGTGAACTATTGAGTGATGCAATTATGATCGACCTGGTTGTGTGTGATGTGATCCGATGAGACACATGTAGCTTTATGTATGCGTTTGTTTGGTAATATAGTTCCGACTGTAAACATTTTGTTGAATGTTCACAAATTTGCAACTCTGTCAACATTCTGCTTCGTTTCTCCTAGTCCATCCTCGTGATCGGGTTGTATCTTCATAAGTGGTGTTGTCAATTCGGAGTTTGATGTTTAGGTGTCTCATCAGGATGGTGATGTCGTTTCCTATGCATTTCTCTATGATGGGTTGGAGCTTTTTGTGAAACTGATCTCTATCATCATCGTTGGTATCTTAGGGCATATTTTTAGTGGTTTAATTTATTTATTCTATTGAGTGTTCCAAATAATTCTCACTTAAATTTTGAACATATCACGTTACTCATATCTAATTCTTTACATAACTGATATTTATTTTTTAAAAATGAAAATATTTCAAATCAAATAAATAACTTGTTTCAATGGTTAAGATAATGAGTCAGTTGAAGCTAGACCACCATGAAAAACCTGGAAGCACAGGACGGCCGTTTTGTCGTATTATCGGACCCCTCAGCAGTGCGCATCCACGACCTCGCCTTCTGTGAGATTCGAATCCAGTACCTACTGGTTTCGCGCGCGAGCACTTAAACACTGGCTTCACGAGGTATATCCTGAATTTCTAGTGAAAAGAAGTAACCAGTGGAGTTCAACCAGGTCTGTTGTGAGATACCAACTCATTGAAGACAGTGGCGGATGTGTCGCTCAATTTCGTGGATTAGTTGAAGTTAGACATTAACACTATTGGATGCCAATTCAGTGGTCCAGTGGTTAAGCGTTCACGCGCGAGACTGATATTTCCTGGGTTCGAATCTCACAGGAGGTATGATCGTGGATAGACAGTGCTGAGGAGTCCCACAATAGGACGAAACAGCCGTCCACTGCTTCCAGGTTTTCCATGTTGTTCTAGCTTCAACCAATTCATGATCTTAACCATTAAAATTACTATAATATTCACAAAACTCATCTGATATTAAATCACTTGTTGTCAATTTATGAAAGTTAAAAGTCAATCAATTCAATCTATCTTCAATCTAAGATACCATTTCTTTTTCTACAATATATATGTATGTTACACAATTTATATATCTTTTTATACATAACAAAAGTATTCAAATGGTTAAATGAAACAACTTTTCATATCAATTTATAAAGTGATATACATTATCATTTAAAAAAATAAATGTGAAATAGGTTTTCCATCGAATAGTTCATAAAAAATAAAACCAGTAAAATTATTGACATAGAAATCTGTATCTGGGGCGGGGGAATAGATTATATATTAAAAAATAATTGATGTAATAATAATAATAATTATTCTTATTAATATTTACAGTAGAAACAATGTTATGTAACGAAGCATTCAAATTATTTATCATTGCGTAATCATCTCAACTATTTTTCCTTTCATTTAAATCTTATCAAAATAAATAGATTAAGAAAATGCAGTAGAGTAGAGTAAAGTATGGAGATAATGAATTATTTCCTCAGATATAAACAAACAAACGTATATTGTCGAAAGAAATCAACGATAATAATAATGATCATATTATTATTATTAATACCACTTATGAACAAGCCAAAAGATTTCAGTTTTAAAATGATGAATAAAATAAAAATCAATCTGAAAAAATTGTCTTTTTTTCTTTTGTTGGAGGGGGTGAGGGTGTGTGTGTGAAGTGAATCAGTTGTGTTTGTTTTTTTTTATTGACTAAATTTATTTTATTCATCTGAATAAAATGGTTCTTCATTTTTATAACTTAATCTTGATGGACGTTGACAAGCGACAATTTTTGGTGAAGCTAAATCTCTTGCATTACTATCACATGTACGATTTTTTGTTTCAATCATATATAAATAAAAGAATATCCAACAGACAATAACTATAACTAAAAATGGTAGAAATGAATAACCACCAATTGCATCCTTTAAAAAACAAAGACAGAAAAAAAAGAGAGAAAAATAGCGTTAAAAGTAAAGATTGAAAGTGATGAGCTCAGTCAATATAATAATAAAAATGGGATGGTTGATTAATTTAACGGTTATATATCATTATTCAAGTTTAAGGAAATTTGGAATAAAGTATTTTCTTATACCGAGAATACAAAATGTAGACAATTGAATATTATTTCAGTAATCTAAATATAAAGTTCTAATCAAATCCAATGTTAAGACAAAATAGTTGCTCAATGCTTCCTGGTTGTCAATAGTTCTCTAATTAAAACAAACGCGTAATGTAAATTATGAAATTCAACAATACATGTTCACTTGAATGTATTTCATATTTTAAACAGAAATAGTTGAACAACTTTCATTAGTTTGGAAGAGAAATATGACATGTTTTGACAACGAAAATCCTACGTTACCACTAAACAGTATGGCCTGAATTGCTATCTTAATAACTGTTAATAATAATCAAGATGAGTTCCATAAGTCTAGGTGAAATCCTATAGTTCGTGGCATATATATAATGCTGATATTTGTAATCGCCCTTATGGAAATGGTCTGATTTTTATTTGTCATTATAACATTTGACTCCGCCTGGAGTCCCTCCGGGGGCCACTGCCGGTCCCAAGCCCGGATAAAGGAGGAGGGTTAGGTATCCCATCCCGTAGAAAACTAACTCGCTAAAAAACGCTAACCAGAAAATTATTCATTATAACATTTATAAGTGACATGTTTTTTACACTATGAATAATTTTTATTGACATCGTTCATTAATTATAAATAGAATTTCATCATGAAAGAATGCGAATAGTCTTCTCATGATTCCAATAAATGATCATATGACAATTCGTTGTTCAGACGTTTACTATTTACATTCATATACTTAACAAATGTATGTCTTTCTAGTTGTATGTAATTAGTAAGTTAAAAATCAAAATACCTACCGTTTTAGACATAAAAATGTATTATGTAGTTGAGTTGTAGTTTAGAAGATTTATCACTCTTTAAAATTTATAAGAGAAATAATCAATATACTAAATTCCTTAGGAGGTAAACTATCCGATTCAGAAGTGTTTTACTCAACTTTTGATAATGATATCTTATCTCTTTACTGATCGACAGGTAATCTTGTGAAAAATACGTATTCTCAATTGACGTAACTTTTGAATATTGATGAAAATTAGTAAGATTGTTTAAACGTTTCTATTCCTCATAAAATCAATCAAAATTTACTTTCTCGTGAATGTATATAATCATTTCTTTCTTATTTTATATATATAGTTTGAGTATAACTATTATCCATTATGTTATAGTCTGAAATTGACTTTAATTTTCTATCAACATGAGATACATTTATAAATTAGCAGCCAAGGAAACTATCTAAATGATAATTCCTTGAATGATTTGGCTGATAAAATAAAATGTTATAATTATCTAATTGATATGGTTTAAGTTTTATATGTTTGGTACAAACGTATGAAATCGTTGTAACACGACGGTTCTAATCAATCACTTCGATTACTAAGATGTTTAACCGACATAAGTCTATCATTGTTTGTAGCCTGATTCACAAGATTTGAGTGTTTCGTCTTTTTTCTTTGTAATGTTGCCATGCTATGAATTTTGGATATACTAATTTGTCAGGTATAGTTTTGATAATTTTGTAAATTTGACTCGGTAAGTTTAAGTTATAACAAAATGATGATTAAGTTACCTAATTCTACCTAGTAAAGTTTGTGATTAATACTAGCATATAACCTTATTTCTTTCGAAATAAATACATTTTAATTAGTTTAAATAGGTGAAAATCAAATAAGATTTTCATCCTTACAAACTTACAACAGTTTTCAACTATGTCATAGAACAATGGACGAAGACTCAGGTAAGGGAAAACAGTTTACCGTTTTATGCAAAATCGCACAGTGCCTTTATAAAATATATAAATCATGCATTAAACACGTATATTGCAAGTTTTTCTGAAGTTGTCCTTTACATATTCTATAATTCTTCTTATTCTCTCCTTATTCCGATTGGACTTCGTTTTCTTTCTTGTTCCCTTTATTTGAATATTTTGCTGGAAAGCATTTCACTCCCTATTCCTGCTACATACTACTTATATCTGTCCACATACAAAGTGCACGCCGTAATAGCATTGTAATCATTTATTAAATAAGTAAATAGAATATGTATCAGAAGTGAGATGTGCCTATCTTCGTTAGGCCTTTTTTCACATACATTCAGTCCAAACTTGTTATTTACGTTATTTATCTAGAATGTATACAACAGTCTTATTCAACACATCATAGTAATAATGTTCAAATAATGATCCGACTGAACTTGGGATACGGTCAGTGAATGAGTGATGACATTTTACAATATGATCACTTTTCCAGTTTTTCAGAGTCTGTGTTAAAATCTTATTCCAATTCATATTTTCTTCTAACTTAATACATTCAATCTCTAGAAAGTAATTTTATTAACTTTATTACTTACATTAATGCTTGGATAACTGAATAACACCAATAAATTGCATAATAAGTTAACTCCTTGACTTAGAGAATAGGCTGCAGCTCTTGGTTCTTGCCTAAATATTTCAGCAACAATTACACCAGGAATTGGACCTAAACCTAAAGCAAAACCACAAACATATAGAATTATAAGAACAGCTGAAATTATTCCAGCTGTTCGAGCTGTTGTTGGATCTTTTGTTGAACTTGCTACATTCACTGAAATTGTTAAAAATAATAATGAAAAAGCAAGAAGTACTGCTGGCCATAAAAGAAGAGTTCTACGTCCTGCACGTTCAATTAAATATACCGAAATTATAGTCATTAACACATTAATTGCTCCTACAGCAACTACACAAAACTGAATATACATCAATGGAATTCCAGCAGTTTTAAGCATTGTAGAAGAATAAGTGATCACCTGAAAGAGAAAACCAAATAAAAAAATTTAAATTTTGTAAAAATAAATGAATTTAATTATTTTGTTAACTTTCTGTGAATTATGTATTGCTTTAATTTTCAGCTACATATCTTGGTCGGTTTATTATCAACTATTTATTGACTTCTTATTCTTCTGCCTGTATACATATGTGTATAAACTAAAGAATATACAATGGAATAACAGCTATCCAGGTGATTTTGTCAAAAGATATCTATCATAACAAAAAATAGGCCGAATATCAATAAGGTCAACCATAAGACTCATTGTCTAAACCTCGATCTTAAAGGAGACACATCAGGTAACATTTTAATATGTCAATTGAAATGATCTGTTAACAGGACATTTCACTCCGCTAAGATATAAGTCATTACTTACATAAAGAATCGATGATAAGTAGCAACGATGACCTCGTTCATGTGTCTTACCAATTCAACTGATCCTGCAGGTTTACTTACATAGGCCGTACTTAGAGTCGTTTATCATTGAGTACCTGTAAACAAGTACTGGCGCATTTGATAAAAGTTGTCAGGAAATCTTTTAATAACGCCACAATTTCCCACTCGGCATATAGTGAATATCATCTTAAAAAAGATGTAGCTTTCTCAGTTTTGCACCAGATTTCAGGTAATCTTCCTGAAAGAGAAAGATTACGACTTCTCCATACAATTGAAGTCGTCGGTTTCAACCTCTGAAGACCTTACTTATGTGTTCAAGAGAGATATGTTCTGTCTCTGACAACTGCGTAGTCATTTACTACAACTGAATATTGTAAGCCCTTTATCTCCTCCCCAATTCCCTTCATTTTTATTTTTATCCTGTTCCATTCTTAATTTACACATTTATATTTCCCAATTCACATAAATTCCTTACCATAATAATTTTGACAACACGTCTCTTATTATACGACATTATTATTATTATTATTATTAATATTGTCCATTGTTCAGGGAAAGTTCTACTATGCATTTCATTTATATGATTTATTTATATGATTTTATTGATATTGCATTGATTATACCTTGACACATTACAATCGTTTCTTGTCGACTACCTCCAACCACCATCTAATCTCAATATATAGTGCCCGCAGCGTCGAGTCACCTAGACTGGTGGCCACATTGCAACGTGATCGTTAGCATTCAATCTGCAATAATAAGGACTAGACAAGCATGACATTGATCGCCACCCAGTGATCAATCAATTGTGAATCACTCTAACCTTAAGTAAATGACCTTTTTGATTCACAAATGACACAAATTCGATGTATTTATCCCATAAGAGATGTAAAAGTTTAATTTTTTCATACACACTACATGTTTTAGTTCACTAGCATGACTTGTGTTAAAACTCTATAACACAACACAATAACGTTACAAAGTTCATTCTATTAACTTGATCATACATGCATGATATCTTTGATTTTCAAGTAGTGCAATATGAGAATCAATTTCTTAATCATGTTAACCAAAGGATTCATTCATTCATGAATATGTGGTTGATAAAAATCTACAATATCTACAAATGGAGTTAATTATTATGATTAATAACATTTCATCAAGAAAAAAATATTTAAAACGAAATGGGTTCAAAACTAACAGCATTAATTCCAGAAAGCTGTTGAAATACTTGTATGATACAAGCAATTAATACTGGCATACGTAAATCTTTCTGAGTGAAAAGTTTGGAAAATTTGAATTTTGGTCGTTTTTCAGCTTCATTCATTTCTCTTTTCATTTCATCAAATGTTTCATCGATATTATCTTTACAATTAAGTCGCTGAAAGGCTTTACGTGCTTGTTCTTCTTTTCCTTTCTTCATAAATAAAAAACGTGGACTCTCAGGACAATAAGGTAGAAGAATTAATGCAATTAATCCAGGAATTGATCCAACAGCGACAGATATGGGCCACAAAGTTGATGTATTTAATGTGTATGTTAATGTTGCTAAATAGGATACAAGTATTCCGATAGTTAAAGCAAGCTGATGTAATGAACCAATTCCACCACGAAGAGATATGGGTGCTATTTCTGTTAAATACATTGGTGCTATTCCCATTGATATTCCAAAATTTAATCCATTTAAAACACGTCCGACAAATAGTAATGCAGGTTGACTATATGCCACACATGGACCAACCATTATTCCTCCAGCGATTGCAAATAAACTGTTTACTATCAGACCATTACGTCTATTAAAGTAAATACGAGAACATCATTTTAGCGATTTTCTTTAAAAAATAAACAACACGAACTAATAAACATGGATGACATAGTTTTGAACTAATTCGAGAAATATGAAGTTTTAGTCGCTGAAATGTCTCACTGCTCTATTCAACGTACAAAGATGTTTCAGTTAAGTAAATTTCCTTTTGACCATGTCATTTTCTTGAGCTGTACAATCGTAATCATAAGTCATTTTTACAATGAGTAGTCAATAGTAGTATATAGCAATCTTACGGAATTATCAAGTCTAGCCATACTTAATTAAATACGTAAAAAAGCTTATGAAAGCTGGGTAGTGTTACGTTATTCTATAACGCAGTTAAAGTATAATAACTTTCCAGAAAAGATGTGATTTTTTCATTTATTTAGTGCGCAAAATGTCTTGCAGCATGTCGTCAATCGAATTGAGTTTTAACCACTTATAGATATATCATTACATAGATTTCTTCTAAGAACATCTGATAATATTCAAAACACTAACGCAAAATTTAATCTTTATTTGGTTCTACTGTATTATTTTCAACATAATCAAATGTTAAAACTGAAGTCATCAATAAAGGAGGTCATTTGGATCAGACTTATTTAATGATTTAAGTATATAATTTGCAAATAGTAAGTTGAATCAACACGATCGTTTAAATGCGTGCTATTAACAGTGTCAATCAAATAACCATCATAAAGTGTTAGCAATCTATAAGGTGACACTATAATTTATGGACAATTTTTATGCAGCGCTAAAATGACTTTGGATTGTTCACCTACTTACTAGGGTTAAATGAGGATTATAGATTAGTATGAAGAATCAGGATTAGGATTTACAGTTGAACGTTAGGGTTACGAATAAGAGTTAATGTTTTCATCACGAACTGATATCAGCTATAATGCTAAAATGTTATTTAGCCAAATGAGTAAATGAATTTCGCGCCAAAATCCAAGACATGCTATCATAAATCTGATTGGTTCATCCAACATTTATAATCTCACCATCTGTAATCAAATTAAACCATTATTTACCTTCCTAAACAATCAGCTATAGCACCACAACTGAAAGCTCCAATTGCACCAGCTATTACAAAAGCTGTGCTAACTTGAGCATATAAAAAACTTGGTGTCACAAGATTTGTTGTATTTTCAGCTACACTTGCATTTTTACCCAACATAGTACGAGATAAAAACTCTTTAATATGCTGTAAAAATGTAGAAATGAAACAAAGAGGTTTAAAAAATTTTCAGTGGAAAAATCCATGTAGTAAGTGTTAGATAATCAAGAAGAATATACTCCAAATAATCATGAATGTACTGAAAAGAAAACTGTTAACCATGAAATATTGTGTTAATCAAGATATTTCCAGTCACAAAATCTAGGGTTGTGTGACAAAGCCTCTTGAGGCTATTAGAAGCAAATATTCTATATATTGCTTATTATAAAATGGATAAAGAACTATAAATGAAAATTAAATAACACAGATTATCTGGATTCCATGCAAAATTATTATTTGATTATTACCATGGTACCATAAATATGTCAATCAATAGTGATGACATAATTGAGACTATGATTTTTATAATTTAAATAATTGATAAACGTCCAACATAGTTCTCAATAATTCCACATAATGTTTAACTACATTTCAGTTCAGAACTAGTTCAATTTTTATTACTAACAATACTTTACACCATCTTAGTAACTAATATTTAAATTAATATTTTCTTGTAAATAAGCTTCTAACTAGTTAGTATCGTTTCATCTGTTGTAATATTGGATTACATTTCTTAGTAAACATTTCGTTTCAAACCTTTGAATTTACCCAAAAAATATGAGTTATTAACATATCAGTGTAGTTCATCCAAGCATCCAGGTTGGAATTTAGAACTTAAACTGTAGTTTCTAATGAAATTTACACTTGAATGCTTAGTCATCATACACTTTCTAGATAAGAAAGTGATGAGAAGTGCTAGATACAATATGTTTCTTGAACATTGAGGAACGGCAAAGTTGACATCAACCTATAATGATCAAATTTTTCATAAAAATATTATTCCTTTTATTCGAACTTACAATTACCAATGTTATAATCATGCTTGATTTACGCCATTATTCAAACATACATTATGTACTAAGTCACAATTGTTTGATCACTGGGTGGTGATCAATGTCATGTGTTTCAGGTCATTCTTAATGCAAATTGAATGCTATAGACCAAGTTGTAATGTGGCCATTAGTTTAGGTGACTCGACGTTGCGTGCACTATGTTGAGATAAAATGGTGGTTAGAGGTAGTCAACAGGAAACCCTAAACCAAGGTTTCTTGCTACTTGGCACTCGTCAGCAAGGTGTACCTGCGATCTCCCTGACGGATTCGATAGCGTATCATCCAGCCTCACAGTTAATGGTGTTATCACTGGGCTATCAAGCCGCGACTGACCTACTGTAGGATTGTGATATATTCACAATTGATTGATCACTGGGTAGGGATCAATGTCATATGTGTCAGGTCCTTCGTAGTGCAGATCGAATGCTAATCATTTCACCGCTACAACACGCTAACAGATTTATTCGCCTTACAAACATAATCACTTATTCCATATTTTGTATGATGTTTGAGTCTAAAGCTTGATTCTTCATTTTGATTATTCATTCATTCGTCAAAACTAATACAATTTGATGGATAAACACCTGTCATAACGAGTGGTATATACTACATCAATTCAATATCTAGTCAATCATTAATGTTTTATTAATGAATTGAGTTAAAATAGAATGCACAGTTTAATCTTTCATTCTTGACCGATAACTTTACTGAATATTTTGAATCGTTTCAGTCATTTCTCCGGGTCATTTAGTGATTAATTATCATGTTTAAAAAGTCATTTTCTTCATCAAACATGTAATTGACTTACCTCTCCTGGCAAATTTAATATTCCTAAATTGTAACCAATTGTAAAGGATGATCCTAAACACGTCAAGAATACAGAGAGCGCCAAAGACTTCGTGAAATTTTTATTCTTTCGAAAATGTAAATAAACAAATAAACATCTTGGCAATTAATTTTTTAGGAACAAATTTTCTTGTGATAAATTTGTTTTGTATAATAAATTGATGTTTACGGAGAGATCGTTAAGAACTAGTAACTGTCAAACTGGTATCTCATTTTAGTTCAACAGAGTAAAATTAAAGACCCTCAAAGTCAGCACAATGTAATCTTTAAAATTCATCTTTTTTAATAATACTCATGTGTTTAGAGGTTGGTTACCTCTGGCTTTAACTAACAACAGTGACCTATGTAGATAATCACGTTCAGACTTTGTTGATAATCCATAAGTGATAATAGTTAAAAATGTCCCTTATCTCTTAATGACTGAAAATATGAACACTTAGATGCAATTTTAGTAGGACAGGTTCCGATATAGAACAATTCCAACGATTTTGACGAAGGTATTGAAATCAGCGATATCGTGCAGATGTTCAGTAGCTATCACAAGTCAGTTACGTTCACACAAGAATCATAGTAGAACTTGAAATTTTAATTCCTGTATGTCCTAAAAAGAATAACGGATGGTTCACTACAAAGATCAGTTTACAGAAGGCCAAACTAAACCTGTCACTACAATGATTTTTGAATTTGTGCACAGTACAGGTGGATAAGAAACTTCATTAAATCGCTTTTATCTATGGCTTGACTAACCTGTACTGACGATATAGTCAAAGACAAAGTGGATAAACTTCGACAGTTACTTTTCAATAATGTCTAACCTTCTAGAACCATCGGCACTAACAAAGTCGGCGTTGTAACATGAGAGACCAACTACAGTACTAATAAAGTCACCTTCAAGAACAATAAATAGGTCTTGAAAAGAAGATCTTCCTGATCTTTGAAAAAATCTTGTAAACTGTTCAAATTTGTACTGTCATTTTCAGCTATGCTTTGACTCCTGAAGGTATCAAGGATAATCTGTCATAACATTACTGAGCGTTTTTCGGTTTACATGCTCTTGTATAACAGTATTTTCGCTTTTGGAAGCGAGCTCTTTTAAAACGCTTCCCTGGATATTGCCCTACCTGGTTGTTAAGTGGTTTATGCAAGTATGAAACATCTCTTAAATTTTGGACACACTGCCACATCATCTTTCAAATTCATCAATACGGTTTAATAGAGGGAGGGTACAATTCAAAGACTTATCCTTTGCAGAGATCTTGACAATCTATCGATTAAAGCCTAAGCCCAGAATACTAAAGTGAAATATTCAGTCTCTCATTGTATTGTGGTATTAATCCCTTTTCTAATCTCCGTAACTGATTGTTATTCGCTGTTAGTGCCCTGAAAATTTTACTTTCCTAATTATTGGTTATTTGTTAATACAGCATTCAGTCATTCATTTTCTCATACAAATCAAGTGAACGTTCATGGTTAAACTACCACACTCTTAGCATCATTGACTAATTATTAGATCATTAAGTGACAAACATCTGGTATTCATTGTTTCAGGATAATTTTTGACCTAACTTCTCTCTATTTTCCAGTAAACTAATATATATGTCAAATTATCAGAAATACAAGTATATAGCTTAAGTAAATGGTATTATCGAAAAGAATATTTCCTCCCCTTATGATTGATACAAGTAATTAACTATATCTTGTCATATTTCTCATTTATTCATAAGCAAACTTTAAAATGTCAAACATGAATGATAACGAAACACTGTAATTCTTGTTTAATATATATGCATATTCAAACCGCTAACGTAATATTGTGAAATGACAATATGAAAACTTGGGCTGACTTAAAAAATGACAATAGCAAATCAATGGCATTTATGAAGTCACAACTTTATTTACTTCAAATATAACAGATATGAGACTAGTCTATCACTCTTTTTTGTTCTGATTACTAACATAAATAATTCGTAAGAACTGTCCAATGTTAAAATTTAGTATAGTCTACTGATGCCTTTCTCATATTATAGTTTAAAGTCATTGAAAACTAATGACATGATAATCCTTAGTTAACAGGATTGTCTTTTAGAGTAAGTCTAAGTTATGAATGAAATCAAATAACACCCTTTAATTTCTACGTATATAAAACTGAGTGGTGTAAAAAAATGGATACACAGTAAGTAAATTCTTAATTTTATTAGAATCATAAATACTGATATAATCAGTTTGCCCTAAATCTCAGTTACTTAAGTATAAATATGCTCTAAAATGTCAGTTTTGCAGCAAAATTTAAAACTGTGTAGAATGACTTTCTATTAGAAGAATTGGCTGTCCACATAGATTACAGTGAAGTATTAAAAATGTCATCGTCTGCAGAGCATAAAACTTATTCAGTATTTAATGTACAAAACGATGGACACAAAACAAGTTGGATGAAATAATCTAGATGAAATAGCTAACTTCTTTGGAGTTATCTATGTTAGTAACGTAAAATTGAAAAAAGTATATATATTTTATCACTATGGTAAATACTGATAATTGTCAATATGAATTCAACTTGAAAAGATTATGATCTTGGAAATAATTAACACAGAAAAAAAACGAGTAAAGAATATACAGTCACTTAGTAGTTAGTTCATTCACCAATCCATAGATACACAGACAACTATAAATCCATAAGCTTATGTAAAATACAATAAAGAATTACACAGTAAAAGATTAATTCGATTTTATAGATAACTAAAATGTGCATGGATATAGTGAGATTACATTACAACATAACCTATTAGCTTTTGCTGAAAATTCTGTCATTTCATCCATTGTTTTAATGAATTTGGCTTTAAATAGATGATTATTTTATAAGCATACTATTCAACCGAGAAAATCCAATGTGATAAAGTACAAGTCGTTATGAGAATTTCTGTAAAATGAAATTCTTATATCTTTTAAACAATCAATACGGATATTAATTTTAAAAATGAAACATTCCTTTGATGTAAATTGAGCAGGCATGATAAAGGCTAAAAGAAACTTGAAATGAATCAGGTTTTTGAACTGTTGACTTTCCATTGATCATCTAAACCTAAATACTTCATAATTAAATAGTTTCCGATCTTAATGAACTATGGATATATTTAATCCAAAATTGTTTTACATTATAATATTATTTGAGCACAGATGTTGCATATGTTGTCTATCATAAACTACCTTCTGAAAGAAATATAATTTTCATTAAAGACAACATATTCTATTGAATATTTATTGACTTCTTTCACAGCTGTTCATTATTTCGTTTAACAATGTTTACGATAATTTCTAGAATCTACATTACTTGTCAACAATGAGGTAGTTGACAATAAACTGAAGCTTTTTTTATTTCCTGAAGAATTAGTTCCAATGTAGTTTCCAAGTACCATTGAGCGTAAAATATGTATGAATATCAAGATTTCTCAGACACTGTTTCATAATTTGTAATGGTTCTTCAGGATGATTTCTTTAAATCATGACATAATATGAACTATCACTCATTATCAAAATAATTTAATCGAGGAAAGATTAATAGATTATTAGAATCCATTGTTATAAATGACATCATTATTGTACTGATGTACTAACGCCTGATCAGTTGTTTATATTAGTTGCTATTACTTTTGATACTGAATGACTAAGACATTAGGAAGAATAATCACTTAGTTATAGGTGTAAACCAATATACATAAGATTCAGTTTGAAAATTAAAAAACATCCTAATTTTGTGCATTTAATTCCTGGCATAGGAAAGATCTATGATTTCAGTATTGAAATAAATAACTTATAAAATGTAATACTATCCTATTAATTTCAATAGTTGAAATCATGAGTCAATTAAAGCTAGACCACCATGGAAAATCTAATGTGAGACTCCTCATCAGTGCGCATCCACGATCCCGCCTCCCACGAGATTCGAGACCAGGACCTATCAGACTCACGCGCGAGCGCCTAACCATTAGATCACTGAGCTGGTATCAAACGGTGCTAATGTCTAACTTCAACCTCCTATTAGTATTTTCATAATCATTTGAGAAATATGGCCCAATTTATATGCAGTTATCTACATCATTACTCAAGTCACTAACTGAATCATTGTTATGTAATCTTATACATATAAAAAATATATATAGTTTCTAACTGGAAGAAAAACCAATTCATCGCCAAATAAACAAAAATAATATTTACCATTTATTTAGTAAAATATAACCAATAGTTCTTGTATAATTCAAAGATTCATTGAATATAAATTTGAAATGAAATTCATTCAATGAAATGTACAATTCAATGAATAGTTCTTTAAATGTAATACATTTAAGTAAAATTCCATGATACTTCAAACTATTGATAAGATACTGAAAGGTTTCATTTATTATTTTATAGACTAGAAAACCATTTACGTATTAGGTAAACAATGATTATAATTAGTATGCTAAATATATATATATAAATGCATGAACAGTCTAATGAATTATTGAATGAAACCTCAGGGTATGAACATACTTTACAATATTGATTAAAACTATGTTGTTCATTTAACTTAGAAACAAAATAAACTATTTTTATTCTAAACTAAGTTGAGTTGTAATTTCATAATTCCCAATTAACTACACCCATAATATTTGATTGATTATTTTAATTAGATTGATTAACTTTTTCACAAAATTGTTAATAAATAACGAATCTTATAAAACTAAGCTTTTCCTTGTGACTTCTTGAGAAAATACCAAACGTCTTTTCAGGAGTTTATTGTAGTTTTTCAATAAAATATGATCTCATATTGAATAGAAAACTTAAGGCAATATCGAGGTAATCCGTACAGAATGCACATATGCTAATAAGAGATTGATCAATTGTAGTTCTAAAACATCAGTGGGAAGAAGATTCAAACAAACAATACAAAATGAATTAAATTTTCCAGGGTAAACATTTGAAAACTTACAGATCCCATAATCTTGAAGTTGACAATTTATTGTTTTCAATAGAATTAGATCGTTTATTTATTAATTGATTGAAAGTAGTGTAGATAATAATAATGATAATAATGTTTAACTTGAAATTTGTTAATAGTTAACCACACCTCCTATGATCAATGGTGAGTTACCATTTGTATTTGACTTATATATATATATTTGATTTGTAATTAAATAATAATTATACATGTTTATCCACATACATATACATAAACATCAGAATGAAATTCTTGAAAGTGATTCTTTGTTTCGTTGTTGTTGCGGTGGTTGTTAAACACTGTGATACACAATAGATAAACACGTGGTTTCAATCATTGTAATGGTTATCATTCCGTTTGCAAGTTTACAATTATTCCAAAAAAAAGTTTTTTTCACTGAAAACTTTAAAATTTAATTCACATGTCATTAATTTCTAATAGAAACAATATGAATTATATACGTGTAAAAGATGCTTGCCAACAAACTGAATAGAATATGATAATTATTACTGTGAAACTTGATTCAGTAAAATTTCACCATGAATAAGTATTCAATGAATACTGTGTTCTAGTCAATTGGCTTTCGGGGTTGTTTCTTTTCCTCTTTGACATTAAAATTATAAACAAACTGAATTGAATTCATACTAACTCATTCGAATATGTAATCAAAAGTTTTTAGGTAACATAATATGGAATTACAATTGATTGAATAATGGAAATGACATATTTGTCTAGTCATTTAGTTTTGATTGAGAACTACTTATTGTACAATGTGTAATATGATGACTAGATGAATTTACTAGACATCTTGTTTACTATGTTGAGATTTTATGTTATAGGAGGTAGATAACAAGAAATCATGAATGTAGGCTTCGTGCTAGAATCTAGGTAATTGATGTACCCTTAATCCAAGATTCCCTGTCAACTACATCCAATCACAAGACATGATGAAATGATAATACTTAATATTATGGAATAAATAAGTTTCAAACGCTCATACGTTGCAGCAAATATTATGTAACAAGATAATTTTACAATTTGTATACCTTGATCAATAATATTAATCTTAACATAATGGGGAATAACTCAAATCCACCATTTAAATAAGCGATGAACAAGTACATAATATGTATCATTATATTGAGTACTAATTAATTATTCATTCTTCATTGAACTTATATTCTGAGTTGATAAGTAGTACAATTGTTACTTGTGTGAACATGATATAGTGATCAGAAGTGAGTCCTAATTACCCTCTTAGTTCTATTTCTAATTCATTAACTGAAGATAATTGAATCTCATTCTTTTGATGTTGCCGTCAGAACTAGCTCCCAGCATTCATCATTCCAATAACAAAATATTTAGTTACTTAACCACAATAGATGTGAGAGGCATGAATTATTCGATTGAATATCTCTGCTTCCTAAACTGTTTATAAATTTTCCTATTCATATACAGGCTACTTACGTAATTAGTATCTACCAGAAAATCATGAGCATCTTTGGTATACCACACATGACGTTAGTGAAACTGATCTTCATCTCAGAGAAAAAATGTCTAATTTTGGAGACACTAGTAAAAATCTATTAAAAGCAATCTTATGGTTTTCACTACGAACTTAGTACATCCAGTTTCATGGCAAGCGCTTCACTTAGGGACCACAGAACTGCCCTTCTATGGCTTATATTTCTATCTTCTATCAGTTTTTTATACTGAGCAATCATATTCTAATGAGAAGTAGTTCTAATACTGAAAATAATTTTCGATTTACAAATTAACCAAGCAATATTCTACTGAATTCGTTTTTTTTTAAATTAAAAGTGTAAATCACTAACTCATGGTCAAACTCAAATGAACCATTATAACTGGAGACATTCAACAATTTACACTCATATTTTTCCTCTTTTCGAAAATCAACTAATTAGCACCATAATTACTTTGAAAATATTCCATAAGATTAAGTATTTATTGACTTTACGTTTTATATTAACTTATTCAAGACTAACATCTAAAACTTATCACCCATTAAATATTGTTGCTATGAATTTCAGTTATGATATGTAGACGTTGACAATAGTACTTATACCAATCATACAATTAGAACATATTAAAATGACTATTAAATGAATGATTTCATTTCAAAAGGATTTTCAGGCATTATATAATTAAAATTATAGAACAGAATTGTGGTTTAGTAGTTTAGGCATTGAAATTGTTCTTTTACTTATTGAGATGTTTGAAGATCAACTCAGCATCCTTAGTTTAAACGCGGACTGCTAGAGTCGCAGATCCAATTCAAAGTAAAGATTTAAAGTCAATTAACTGTCAACAAACTTATTTACTAACATAAAACACGAAGACACTGGAAAATGTAACAAATTTTTTAATAGTGATGAAGTATGTATATGTCAATAGCAATCAGAAACGATCAAACTGGAATTAGATATAAGGTCACTAAAGGTCCATATTATCATTGACCATCTTCATTCTTTTTTAAATGAATGTAACTTAGTTACTTTAGTCGATTTCCAGAAACTGAATTATTTTGTAGCTTGAAATAACCCAGAAAAAGAAAGACAAGGTTTTCTTAACTATTTGACAGTCATTTATTTATTTTGTTTTAATGAAATTTTAAATTCATTTTTGTATTGGTTGTTTGAGTCTTCTCATAGATGGTTAGGACTACAACTGACCAGTCTCTTATTGACATATGTGGATCTTGCAAGGCTTGCCTCGATATAACCTTAAGTCACAAGCTTTTTCAGCAAAGATGGATAGTGATTGGCAGTGCAATCTAGAACGTGCGTTTTGTCCTATTTGCGACTCATCAGCTAGATTTGCCTGAAATATACAGTTGATGTTCACTCCGGGGACTCGGACCCAGTATCGTTCGCTTCAAACACCATCTCATTATCTACTTAGCTACTGTTTTCTGACAGCGACTATCTTAAGTAACGAGATGAAGTTTTCACTCATTTTTGTATTGATTGTTTGAATCTTCCCATTGATGTTTGAGACTGCAACTAATCAGTCTCTTATTGGCATATGTGCAACCTGTACGGATTGCCTCAATATTGTTTGAAGTCACAAGCATTATAAACAACTATCTAACCCTGCCTATAATTAAATTTCAAATTATTGCAATTCACTTGAATGTACTCAATGGAATAGAATATTATTGAAACATACCTAAATAAATTAACTTCGATATAGAAGCGAATGTTATAGAGGGTTGACAAAAGTCTCTCAAGGAATTATGAAATAGATTATTTTATAAAATTGTTAAAGTATAAATCTGAAACTACCTGGTATACGTTAAGTCATTAAAATCAAATACATAAGATTCATAGAATTCCACACAAATACTTCATATAAAACAAAATAATTAAGGTATAATAAATTTAAATGTGGATTTTAGTACATAATCTAATGTTATCAGAAGGAGTTTTGTGGAGATTATAGCAATTTCAATAGTTGAAGTCATGAGTCAATTGAAGCTAGATCACCATGAATAACCTGTAAGCACTAGACGGCTGTTTCGTCCTAGTACGAGACTCCTCAGCAGTGCGCACCATCGTTGAATGCTGGCCAGCTCAGTGGTCTAGAGGTTAGGTGTTCGCGCATGAGACCGATGGGTCCTGAGTTCGAATCTCGCGAGGCGGAATCGTGGATGCACGCTGTTGAGGAGTCCCATACTAGGACGAAACGGCCGTCCAGTGCTTGCAGGTTTTTCATAGTGGTCTAGCTTCAATTGACTTATGATTTCAACTACTGAATTAATTTAATAATTATACTTTCCAAATTTAAATTATCAGGGTACAGAACTAAATGCCACTTCATGTTATTCAGTTTGTTACGGTCTAATAATATTAATAGACTTCACAAAAAGTTTTTGAACAAAGTCAATTCGATGAAATTGTTCACAGCAAGTGAACTAAATAATAGAGCTTTTATGATTCATTTCTGATTCATCATAGCTATACTACATCTAATTTCGTATAAACTGCAATCATGTTCTTTAGAAATTAAATTATCATTGATCTTATCAGTTGGAATACAGTGAACCACATTTTGTAACTTTATCTTATTTACTATTGTGAGTAACTACTCAAGAGATAACAAAAAAATTTTAAAAAATCATAAAAGTTTGATAAATCTGAACTTTACTGCGCAAAATGAAGTTACTGATTATGGTATGTATTAGACTTTGTTTGATAATAAGTTTCAAACATTCATAATTACTTCAGTTTACTTATTGTCCATATAGACAGTACTTTAGCTACTACAGTGAATATGCCTGAAAATCTGGGGACAAGAATTTCAGCAATGTAATAAAGGGTGGTAACTATAAAACCTTTAGCTATTGACCAAGATCCTGAAACAATCGAGTACATTCGGCTTACCAATGGTGTGTTGAAAGTAAGACGTTTCTTTAGGATAGCCTGTATTTCTACTAAAGCTGTCTTTTTCCTCTCTTAATGATAGATTGGAAAACGACGGTCATAAAATGTATGCCAAGTTTTGTCACATAGCTTACAAACAGTGAAGTTATTTAGCAGTTTTAACAATAACACATGTTTTAAATAAACTACATGCGACTAAATAGCAGACGTTCTTTATCTCACTATCTTATACAGCACTAAAGCTTTTCATCCACCTGCTTTATTAAAATCTTATCTGTCGCGAGATAGCTGATGCATAGTCCTAACTTCCCGTTACACTTTCAGTAGTGTACCTATCTTATTAAGCACTTAGGTAATATCATGTTCATTGTGATATACATTTATATACTGCTACTAACTCAATCCATGGGGGAATATGTTTATCGTGATATCCGAAACTAGCATTTAGTAACTACTCATTACTCTTTGATTTTTATTGGTTCTTCACATAAAGACACTCTGTGATTATAGTTATCTTCCAGTTTAAAGTAGTCCATTGTGTGAAAAAAAATTGAGTAATAAAAATAGTTATTAAAGTGAAGAAAATGGAGAAACGGGGGATTGTAAAACATAACAGGTATGCTATACCAAGAACATTTAAGAAGTGAAGCTTACTACATCATTAAAAAAGTATATCAATTTTCAATGTTCATGAGTTGTAAAAAAATCATGTTTGAGAGAATTATAGTCTTCAGTAAGTTCTG